TTGCGCTTACGCTAAACCCGTTTGCGTGCGTTCGATCGCCCGCCTCAATTAATGGCTCGTTTGCCACTCGTCGCCGAACTCAATCGACACGCCATTAATCGTCGTCGTTGGCTTGGCAATAATCGATGATGAAACCGGTTTCTTTTTTTTTGTGTCGGTGGAGCAGTGGAGCTCTTCAACTCACTTCGCCTAATGGAAAGGTGCATACAAATGAGTACATTCGGGCATTCTGGTATAATACTTATGGGTACATACATAAGTACTTACAAGCGTGTGGATTTACATCCTTCACGTCGCCATTAAATTGATTTCAGTGAATCATTGGTTGGGGATCTGTTGCTTCGTTGAGTAGCAGTTTATACTTTGATGACGCCATTCAGTAAAATATTGTTTTTTTTTTGCCGAAATATGCAATTAAACCGATTTTAAATGTTTCTGTTATGAACGGAATATTAGTTGGAATTGGCAATCTAAAATTAATCATCGAAAAATGCTAACGAGACGATCTATTGCTTTAAAAACAAATTACATTAAGTATAAAGGAACTAAGAAGACGTTTACGGATTCAATGATTTCTATGAAGTCTGGAGAGTAAGGGAAGTTGGTTCAAAATTCCATGATGTTCTTAAAATCGACCCTTTCGCAAATGTTTGAGTACAAGGCTAATAAAATGAGAAGGAATGAATATTTTTCAGAAGTTTTTTCTTTTAATTGTAGATTGTGTGACACCATATTCGAAATGGCTTCCATTCAACTTCCAGCAGCTGTGAAGTCGGCTTGACCATTCATCGATTGCAGTACGCACCCCATATTAGGGACATTTTCAACTCAACACTTAACACTTGGAGCTCGGACGTACGTCGTGATGACAGAGCATACACATCCTCGTAAGTGCGAATTAGACCTTTAAATTTTTACTTACGTTGCTGTTTCAACGCGTCTGTAAGTAAATGCTTTCTATAAATGCTGAATTCCAAATTACGTTTTGTAATACGCGACATGCTGTGCTAGTTTCATAATTTTCTGTGCAGTGGATTTCAACAAATTCGATATTCTACTGCCTTAATAACTCCAGGCGTTGGCAATGTGCGGCGACAGTCCACTGTCGACTATTCCAGCAGTCTTTCGAGTAACTTCACGGTACGATACACGAAATTTCGATTGATTTTCAGGCGCTGCGACATCCATTGTTTCTCCGATATAAAAGGATGGTCCTAATGAGAGATTTGCAAAACGTGATTTTTCTTCGTCAAGAGGCAGCTCTGATTTTCAATCGCCTACCGAGCCCAAGGTGACAACTTTTAACAAAAACCAAAAATTTCACCTTGTCCTTCACCACTTTAAATATTTAGAGCCAGCAGTGATGTAAAAAGACAAACTAGGAGTGTCAGTTATTGACGAAATACGACCGTTTCCGACGAATTGATAATTTCTTCTTTTTTTTTTAAAGTCAGTTTAAAATAAAAAAAAAATCAAATGAAATTACCTATGATAATACCTATTTAATTCATTCTTTAACAATTCTACTTTCTTAGTTTTGCCTTTAAGGGTGGAATGGGCTTTAATGTCCTTTCAGCGATACAAATCTCCGGGACTTGACGGAATATTTCTCGCTCAACTACAGGAAGCTTAGGACATTCTGTGCCCCCTGATTTCTCAGATTTTTACAGCCTGCCTAACCCTAACTCACATACCATTCGAGTGGACAAATGCAAACGTTGTATTCCTACCAAAAAAAGGCAAAGCCGCTCATGTGAATCCAAAGGATTTTAGGCCTATAAGCCTCATTTCATTCTTTCTTAAAACTGTAGAGGCTCTTCGACGCATATATTCGACGGAATTCTAAACCTGACAACCTCTCCTCGAATCAGCATGCACATACTCTCTCAACCGAGGTCAAATACCTTGGAGTTATTCTAAACAGGAAACTGGTCTGGAGGCGAAACGTTAAAGACCGCGCAGGAAGCCAATACCACCCTGTATGGCTGAAAGACGGCTATAGGCGAATAATTGGGAATAAAACCACATATAGTACACTGGATGTACACAGGATGTACACAGCTGTGATAAGACCCATCCTTTTATACTGGGTCACCGTATGGTGGCCTGCCGCTAAACAACACCTTGTCCAGAGCCAAGATGGATGGGTCCAGAGGACGAGTGCCATGCTCGTCACGGGAGCACTGCCCACTACACCCACCAAATCTCTCGAAATAATATTAAACCTTCCACCTGTGCAGTGCGGCCAGGTTAAATACGATCCGACCGTAGAGAGACCTCAGATTCGGACACGCAAAAGTACTTACTTAAAACTCTACCGGATAATCTACGGCAGTTAAATTATATCACTCCTCTCCTCTGTTTAGACAACAAATTCTCCACAAGAATCCCAGAGAGGAACGAATAGGAAGGGGCCACAGACTTGAACCCAGGGTCTACGGCCATATATATCGATAGTTCCAAGCTTAACAAAAGAGTGGGTAGCGCGATTTACTCTGATGAACTCGCGCTAAACCTCAGTTTTCGCTTACCGGACCATTGCAGTGTCTTTCAAGCAGAGCTAAACGCCATAATGGAGGCGGCTCGGTGGCCCATAACCTCCGCCCCTACAGGCCGGCCTATCGCTATCTATTCTGACAGCCAGGCTGTTATCAAATCTCTCAAATCTAACGGAACAATGTCCAAAGTAGCCATAGCATGCAGGAAGACTCTCAACCTGCTGGCATCAAAATGATCCTTGACTGTTGCATGGGTCCCTGAAATAGGGACTTTCCTGGCAACTGCCTACCCGATGAGCTGACAAGGAGGGGGACGGAATTATCTGAAGTAAATTTTGCTCAGCATGCGGGCACACCTCTAACCTCCTGCAAACACAGACTAAAGGCTGAACTCATCGAGTAGGTAAACACCACGTGGGCTGTGGAAACCACCTGCCATACTACCAGACAAATTTGGGTAAAGATTGATGTAAAGCGATCCATAGCTCTTACTCGGTTGGATGGCTCCCCTCTTAGATTAGTAGTGGGGGTAATCACCGGATACTGCCTGATGGGCACACACGGTAAAAGGTTAGGTTATACCCAACCAACGATTGTCCCAACGATCTGCCATTGTCCCGCCCGCAACCAACTCTTCAACAAGTACTTTCTGGATTGTTTAGCCGACTTGAACTCGGCGAGCGTCCTCGACTTTTTGTGCTATATATAACACGCGCTCGGTGCTTCAATTACTAAGGGAGGGTAAGAAGTAAACGGCTTCGGCCAGTGGTAACACAACGGGCTTTTCCAGCCTGCGTGTACTCCGTGCTCTGCGCGGGGTAGCCACTTCAACCTAACCTAGTTTCGTCTTAAATATTTTTAGTCGTTCTTCTTATATCTCGGCCCTTTTTCTTTGATATCGAAAAAGTTCTTGCACTTCCATTTGCTTCAGCGGATTTTGAATTTGCTGAGGACCGCAAGCTTCTTGAAACCGTGCGTATATCATCTTCAACGTTTTCTATTCAAGTTTAACTAACAGTACGCACAGGAAACGAGCCATTTGAATGAGGTTGGACCAGAGGGAGGGGATGTAAGCTGAGTAAAAGTAATTGAGCTTTCATGTGAAGAGGTGGTTGGTGTCATCGGGGGAGTCTCCTTATGCCAGACAATCATTGGGGATATCCGAGTCGAGTCTGGATAGGTATGTAGTTGCTTAGGCGCCTAAAATATCCAGACCGTAAACGGAATAGGTGGGGACCGATTCTCTACGAATGCCGTGGTTGGTCGATGTAAGTCTGGACTGCGTGCATATACTCACCTCCTCAGGTGAGGCTAACCAGGCCGAAGCCATTTTCGAGTAGAGCGACAAAAATTATAGACTTCCTGGATACACAAAAGCACGAATTCCACTACTGTTTACCTAAATTCGCTCTGGTCTGAAAATACGCAGGTAAAAATATACATTAGTGAGGGTCGAAAATGCGTTCTTTTTTTTATGGGTAATAGCAGAAATATGGACTTGGGCGAGCCCAAGATATTGACCTAAAATTGTCACCTTTCACACAGATTGTTTTTAGAGCATAATGAACCATATTTTTGCTATGACCAATCAAAGTTCTAAAAAAGCGGATTTTCGGCCCACGCTAATACACATACATACATACATACATATTAATGTACATACTTACGTACAATCCAGTATTTATAGCATTCATTGATCAGTGCTGATGGTTCAGGTTGGTTAGATTTTTTTTTAGACTAATTTTTTCGTACGAAATTTTCCTTTGGCGCGTAAAACTCACAGAAGGGTGAACATGTGTTGGCCCTTTACGAGCACAAAGAAGAAAAGCAAAAACAAATTATCGAAGCGATCGCCACTTGAGCGTAATGTTCTGCACATACAAATCTACTCGTCTGTATGTAATTAGTATTGTAGAATTAGCCCGTTCGTATTGTAGTTTTTATGCTCTTGTTTGCCAGCCAAATGTAAACAAAAGACTTCAATGTGGGAGAAGCGTCGCCACCGCCAACGTCGCCGCCGTTTTTGCTGCTGCTGCTGCTGCTGCTGCCGATATCCAGCACCTCGACAGCAGAGGCGGCGTGATTTCGTATGCAAAACTCAGTCGCACGTTCTACGCCGACTGAGGAAAGGATGTGTGGTGCACTCAGCAATCGATCGCTGATGCGGCTGGCGTAATTGGAGCGTAACTAGTGCAAAGATTTTTCGGTAAAGATAGATTCAGTTGATCGAGAATAGCGAAAGAGAAAAGTACAAAATCGCGTAAAAGCTGGACGATATTATACTACATATATATGAGCATAAAGTGAAAAATAAAAATTCAAAATAAAAAAGTGAAAGATACAAAAAAAAAATAAGATGAATATAGCATATCTATCCATGGACACATATACAAACATTGCAAAAGTGTTGAGTTGAAACCAAAAAATAAATTTTATAAAAATTAGTCCTAGCAAAATTATTGTTTGCATAAAAGTGCTCCAGTGAAAGTAAATAATTGCATAATGATTAAAAGCGAGGATGTAATGGATTCAAACGGTCATTCCGGCACTCACAATGGCTTGCACCACCACCACCACTCCGCCGCACATTTACCTCAGCACAGCAGCATTTATCGCAATCTGCCGTCGAATATCTTGTCTGCATCGAATTTCGCCCCCTTAACATACAGCGATCAAACGTCCATGATGCGCATGCCGCCGCAGGAGTCACCCGAATTGCAGGACGAGAAGCCCGACCTCAACTATCTCGATCGCAAATATTACGCCACCATGATGGCTCAACCGCCCGTGCATGTCTCGGAGGCCGCCGCCACATATGGACTGACGTCAATGCACACCATATGTGCCTCCTCGCCGCATACAACAAACGATAAACGACATTGGCATGCTAATGCCGATTTCGCCCAATTCGTCGCCCCACAATGAAGGTGTCGTCGTCAAATCGCCGTCGGAAGGTGAGCTGCAACAACATTATGCGGCTACACAAAATCGCATCATTTCCGCGAAAATGTCGATCTGGGACAGCAGTTGAA